CCTAGGTGTCCATGGATTTCAATGGTACCTGAAGTGATATTGTCTCCTTTTTTCTCTAATTATATTAATTTGTGTCTCCTCTTTCTTGGTTAGTTTTGGGTAAAGGGTTCTCAGTTTTGTATATCTTTTCAAATACCTTTGTTCCTTTTTTCTTTTTTTCTGGTAACATTTTGTTAACTTCAGTTCTGTTCTTTTTTTATGCATTGGTGGCCACTGCTTAGGAACTGGTTTGCTCTGTTTTCTCTGACCTGGAGTGCATCATTAGGTTGTTTAGTATAGTTCTGATTATTGTTTGATAGTTATAGGATGAATTTTAGTCATTCATATCCTAGTCCCCGTTCTCATTCTCATGCCTCTCCCTGTCCTGCCTGAGCCCTTTTTCTCAAGAAGCCCCCCTCCAACTTGGTACCTTCTTTTTAATGTGTGGTTCCCTAAGTTTCATTAGAATGTATTGTTCTGTTATGGTTGAAAGAGTATTTGTCAGAGCAAGGGCACCCACACACACACACATTTGCTTGTTTTTTTTTTTTATTGTTCTCTCATACAAAACATTCCAACCACACACTCCCCTCCTTCCACTCCTCCCATTTCCTCCCAACTCCCTCTCTCCTTCCATATCCATTCCTTCTCCCTTTCCCTGCAGAAAAGAGCAGACCTCCCAGGGATATCCCCTGATGACATAACAGTAAAGATGACAATAAGACCTAAAGATGCAGTAAGATCAGGAAACATAAACCCTCATAACAAGGCTGGATGAGGCAATTCGGTAACAGGAAAAGGGTACCAAGAACAGGGAAATGAGTCAAAGACACCTCCGCTCCCACTGTTAGGAGTCCCACAAAAAAAAAAAAAAACCAAGCTAAACAACTACAGCACATTTATAGAAGATCTAGAATAGTGGCATGCAAGCTCTATAGTTGCTGCTTCAGTTTCTGTGAGCTTCTATGAGCACTGCTTAGTTGACTCTGTGGGCTATGTTCTCCTGGTATCCTCAACCCTTCTGGCTCCTACAATCCTTCTTTCCCCTCTTCCTTGGGGTTCCCTGAGCTCCACCTAGTGTTTGGCTGTGGGTCTCTGCCTCTGCTTCTATCAACCATGGGAGGAAGTACCTCTGATGATGATTGGGCTAAACACAAGTCTATGAGTATAGCAGAATATCATTAAGAATCATTCATTTCATTGACTTTTTTGCCATTCATATGTGGTTCTATCCTAGAAATCTGGGAGATCCAGCTTTCTGGTAATTCAGGCAGTGTCAGAGCCTGAGTTCCTTCTCTTGGTGTGGGTCTTAAATTAGACCAGCCATTGGTTGACCACTCCCACAAGCTCTGAGCCACCATTACCCCAGCACATCTTACAGGCAGGATAGTCTATAGTTTGAAGGGTTTGCGTCTGGGTTTATGTCCCAGTCCCACTCCTGGGAACCTTCCCAGGTTACAAAGATGGACAGTTCAGGCTCTGTATCTTCATTACTAGGAGTCCTCACTAGTGTCACCCTCATAGGTTCCAGGTAGTTTCCACATTGCCCACCAAATGCCCCCATTTCCAATCCTCTCTCCCAGTACTGTCTCTCCCCAACTCGATTCTTCCTGTTCTCATCCTCACCTACCCCAAGTTCACCCACAGAATCCTTTTTATTTCCCATTCCTAGAGAGATCCATGTACCCCCTCACTAGAGCCCCTCTTGTTACTTAGCCTCTCTGGGTCTGTGGATTAGAGTGTGGTTATCTTTTACTAAAAAGCTAATACCCACCTATAGGTGAATATATATTATGTTTGAGTTACTGAATCTGGGTTGCCTTGCTCAGGATTTTTTTTCTAGTTCCATCCCGTTGCCTGCACTTTTCATGATGTCATTTTTAACAGCTGAGTAATACTCCATTGTATAAGTGTACCACATTTTCTTTATTCATTCTTTGGTTGAGGGATGTCTAGGTTGTTTCAATTTCTGATTATTATGAATCAAGCTGCAATGAACATAGTTGAGCAAGAGTTCTTGTGGTAGGATTCTGAACAGCTGCTGTATTGGTTTCCATAGTGACAATGAAGTTTGCACTTTCAGAAGCAATGGAGGAGTGTTCCCCTGAGCAAGGGCATCTTAACAGTGGCTACATCACTGAAGAAAATGATTCCTTTCCAACCAATGGTTCCTTCCAGTAGTCTCTCAGATGGCCATGGGGTCTCATAGACCACTCCCCTACCAATGATAAAGAGTTGAGGAGCCCAGGCTTGTGTGGATGACTGCATGAAGTGAGTTCACGAGTGTTAAAGTCATGCCATATCCAGAGGCATGTCTTTGCCTCTCTTTGTTCGCATTCCCGGAGTCTTGGAGGGGTGATAGGACTGTCTCAGTTAGGGCTGAGCACTTCACATCTATCTCTTAATCTTGTCACTTTGGCTGCAGCAGGAGGAAGCTTCACTGGTGGTTGGTTACAGCATCAATCTATGAATATATGAATATCAACGTGTGTATGTAGAAGGTCATCTGACAGCATGAAACCAGCAGCAGGTTCCCCCTGGGCATATGACCTTCCCTACTAAGGGTTCTTGACCAGTTTTCAGAATCAGACATGACTTCCCTCCAATCAGAAAGTGGTTGTTAACCTCATACCAGTTAAGCCACAGTTTCCCTAAAGAGCATGTCTTGCTTGGGAAGTCATTATTGTAGCTCCTGGGTTCACACCTGGGTCAGACTGTTGGTGACTCTTCTCCCCCAGCAGTCTGCAGAGCATCTTCTGGCCCCATGAAGAGTAGCCCATAGGGAGAAAACTTGCAGCTCATCTTCAACTTGATTTGTGTACGTTCTGAGACCAAGTGAGTGGTGGCCTGGAATAGGATCTGACCACCAAGGTGGTGAACAGTTAAGAACAGTGGCAATGGTCTGTTGTTTTGAGGGTCTTTGGAGTTTCCTTGGCTGACAGTATCTGACACAGGGATATTTAGTTAACCAATGGCTATTGGAAGGAGCTATATTCATTCATTGAGGACACTGTCATACAAATATCCTTTTTAAATTGTAGTTTTTAATAAGCATATATGATCAAGTTTTCACATGTGTTTTTCATATATCCTTAGTTTTGGTTACTGCTCCCATGGCCAGTAGCCCCTTCTTTCCCCTTCATGACTGATATGTTCTGCTATCCCCTTCCCTTAAGGGCTCTTTCATGCCTCCGTCCATCTAATGGTCCCTTTCTATCTTTCTGGCCATCACTAGCATTCAGTGTTAAACAATAACTTTAAAAATGTATCACTGAAATTGGCTTGTAGGAGACTTCTCATGGCATTTGTCTCTTCCCGTATAATATTTTATGGAGCCATTCATTCACTTGGAAATTTCATTATTTTTTATTTCTTTGCCAATAAATATAACTTCATTGTGGATATAACCCTTTTCATTTTTCATCCATCCACTGGACACTTAGGCTTGTCCCATCTCCCCTCTGCTGTAAGCAGAGCAACAGTGAACATGGAAGTACAGGTAAATCTATGTAGGGACGGAGTCCTTTGGGGAGATGCCCAGAAGTGGGATACTTGAGTTGTATAGCAGCTCTATACTTAGATTTTGAGGACTCTACAAACTGATTTCTATGGTGGCTGCATCCATTCGTACTCCCATACACCCGTGCATACTCTAATACACTCGTTAATACTCTCATACACTCGTACATACTCCCACAACCCATTCATATTCCCACACACCCATTCATACTCCCACAATCTGTTCATTCTCCCATACACCCATTCATACTCCCATACACCTGTTCATACTCCAACAACCCATTCATACTCCCACAATCTGTTCATACTCCCATACACCCATTCATACTCTAATACACTCGTTAATACTCCATACACTCGTACATGCTCCCACAACCCATTCATATTCCCACACACCTGTTCATACTTCCATACACCCGTTCATACTCCCACAATCTGTTCATATTCCCACAACCCATTCATATTCCCACACACCTGTTCATACTCCCACACCCCCGTTCCTACTCCCACAATCTGTTCATACTCCCACACACCCGTTCATACCCTCACACCCCCGTTCATACTCCCACAATCTGTTCATACTCCCACAATCTGTTCATACTCCCACAATCTGTTCGTACTCCCACACACCCATTCATACCCCCACACACCCGTTCGTACTCCCACACTCCCCCCATTCATACTCACACTCACACACCAGTTAGTACTCCCACACCTCGTTCATACTCCCACACACCCATTCATAGTCCCACACCCTCGTTCATACTCCCACACCCCTGTTTGTACACCCACACCCTTGTTCACACTCCCGCACACCCGTTAGCACTCCCACACCTCCCATTTTCCCATTCGTATTTCCACTCATAGTGAATAAAAATTCCTCTTCCCTAAATTCTTGCTGGCTGCTGGCATTGCTACTGATTTGTTTTTCTGATTATACTCATTCTGATTGCAGTGCAATGAAACTTCCAAGCTCTTTTAAATTTGCATTTCCATGGTGGCTAAGGATGATAAACACTTAAAATGTTTATTAACCACTGTTTTGAACACTTGCTGCTAAGTTCCTTAGGCTGTTTTGATCAGATTGTTTATATCTCTGATTGTTTAATGAGGGAACTTATGGATATGAACTTCCCCTTAAAAAATGTCCTTCATAGGCTGACATATTTGAACACTTTGTCCCTAGTTGGTGGCACTGTTTGAGGTTATTGAATTTTTAGAAGTTCAGCCTTGCTTGAGTCCATCCCTTAGGGTGAGTTTTGAGCATTTATAGCCTCCCCTGATTTGCTCTTCTGTGTGGCTAGTTTATGACCCCTTAGCTCTTTGCTTCTTCCATCTTCGACGACACCTTGCCTGCCATTATGGATGCTCCCTCTGGAAGCCAAAATCAACTCTGCTGTATGTACTTTACAGCCATAGTAATTTAATATAACAATAAAATTTAACAGAACTGCTTTTGTTTTTTTATATTGTGAGCTAGACAAAGCAGAACTGACGGGGTGATGATGCAGCAGGACCCTCAGGACAGATGCTCTGAAGAGGACACTATAAATAATCATAAGATCATCAAGACCCTGGGCACAGGAAACTTTGCTCAGGTAAAACTGGCCCTCCACCTCCGCACAAAGGTACCAGTTGCTCTGAAGAAGCTGGAAAAGGATAAAACAAATTCCACTATTATTGGAAATGAGCTAGAGATTATGAAACTCCTCGATCACCCTAATATAATCAAATTGTTCCATGTCTTGGAAACCACTGAACACATCTACTTGGTTTTGGAATATGCCTCTGGGGGTGATCTGGCTAGTCATATACTAGAAGTGGACCATATACCGGAAGTGGAGGCCCAGCACATATTCACACAACTGACATGTGCAGTTAAATACTGCCATGAGAACGATATTGCACACAGGGACATAAAACCAGAAAACATTCTGATGGATGCAATGAAGAATGTGAAGCTCTGTGATTTTGGCTTAGCCGTCAATGTGAGTGCTGAGCCAGAGTCAACAGTGTTCTGTGGCACCCTTCCCTATTGTGCCCCAGAGCTCTTCAGCAGCCAAAGCTATGATGCCAGGGCACTTGACATCTGGAGCATGGGAGTGGTTCTGTATATCATGGTAACAAAGCACTATCCATTTCTCGCAACAACTTACGATCAAATGAAGATCAAAATGCAGAAGCCACATTGCTACATTCCACCAAAGCTCCCAGTACACATTGCCAGTCTCATCATCAAGTTGCTCACTACAGATCCTGAGCAGAGGCCCAAGATACAGGACATCATGCAGTATCCGTGGCTCAAGGGCAGTGAAGAATTTTCAAAATCAACCCTGTGCCTAGAACCACTCCCCAACAAGCCCAACCCCAGGATTATGGCAGCCATGTTGGGCTTGGGCTATAGCCTCAAGGACATTGGTGACTCTTTACATGAGAACAACTTTAACAGTGTTATGGAAACATATTTAATATTAAAATACCAGTCACCATTCATGGACAACTCCAACCATAAAGAAAATTTTACACTGCCCAATATTGCCATGGCACCCGCAGATCCTACCACCTGCCATTCCTTCCTAAAGAACATAGGGAGTGAGCCTGACAATTCCACCTCTACCGTGCCAGCAAATTATCCATCTCAAAATAATAAAATTGTAAAAAAAGAAACCAAAAATCACAGCATGCCTTCCATCCACTGCTGCCAGCAAAAAAGCCAACCTCACTCTACAGGTGTGCAGTGTGGTCCTTTGAAGCATGACCATGAACAGATACTGAGTAGCAGCCTGAAAAAGAGAAGAAGGGTTTCCAAGAGCGTGTCCGGTGGTCCTTTCCAGCATGGCCACGGGCATCTTCTGAGCAACAGGGCTTCCAAGAGCGTGTCCTGTGGTCCTGTGCAGCACAACCAAGACAAACACCTTCTGAGCATCACCTTACAGGAGAGAGGCAGGGCTTCCAAGAGTGAGTTCTGTGGCCCTGTGCAGCACGACCTTGAGCAGCACCTGGATATACTTTCTGAAGACCACATCACCCAGGTGGAGGCCCAGGATGAAAATCCCCATAAGAGCAGCTCATTCCTCCAGCATACACCATCTTCGAGGAGCTCCAAAGAGGGATCTGAGGATGTGACCACCACAGATGCTCATCAGCACAAGAGCTTGACCCCCCAGGAAATATCAGAACCAAACCTCACCAGTGCCCAACCCCAGAGAGTGACCATAGCCTCTCCTCGCCGATGGGGTGGATGGAAGCAGGTGAAGAGGAGACTAGTGAAGGGCTTACGAAGATTGCGCTGCTGTCTACCAGCTGAGGAGAGACGCTGTACTTTCCAGAGGAGAGTGGCTCCACAGGAAGGAGGGCACAATGGAGTCACATAAAACAAGGTGGAAGGGGACCAGGGGAGTCCCAGGAAATCAGGTAAGGGGGACCAAGATGCACTTCTCTATTTTAATTTATGCATTTTCTAACATCCTTTGGTAACTGACACATGGTAATTGCACCTGCTTCTGGGATATGTACCTTAACATATGTACCATACCCTGTGCTGCCAGCAGTCGAGGACCCAACCTCACATCACTCTCCTTATGTGGAACCTGAGAATGTTGACTGTAAACAGAAGTTTCTGTCCTGCCTGGTCCTGCAGCCATTCAGTCCCAAAGAAACACACAGGGGCTTATATTAATTATAATCTGTTTGGCCTATTAGCGCAGGCTTATTTTTAACTAGTTCTTACAACTTAAATTAACTAATTATTCTTATCTATGTTTAGCCATGTGACTTGGTCCCTTATCTCAGTGAAGCATTTTCATCTTGTTTCCTCAATGTCTGGGTGGTGGCTGCAGACTGGGCCTTTCCTTTTCCAAGAATTCTCTAATCTCATCGCCCCACCTATACTTCCTGCCTGGCTACTGCCCAATCAGCTTTTTATTAAACCAGTATGAATGACAAATCTTGTCAGGGTACAAAAGCATTTCCCCACAGCAGTTGACTAGAGGTAGACAACAGAGGATGGTGACCAGAGGCTGGGGGAAAGGGCAACTGTGGGGCTGTTGGCTAAAGGGAGCAAAGATGAAGGGAGGAGTCAGGTGGGGGCCTATGCACAGTGGGACCAGCACAGTCAACAGTAAGTTCTGTGGGTTTCAGCCAAAAGACAGTGCCTTTCACGTGTCTCTGCATTTAAGCAATGAGCCTTCATGGATGCCGAACCACAGGGTGAGTGGGGATCTGCCTGGCGTGGACTGAGACAGTTGCAGCAGGAGGCAGGCAGGACATCTCGGTGGCAGTGTGTCCACATGTCCTGCACAGAAGCCTATGTCCAATACAGGAGCAGGTAAGTGAACTACAACAGGCTTCTCCCCAGGAAATCCCAGCCAGGAGCATTTCGCAGTGTCCTGCTTGTAGTGGGAATTGACTGCCTGGGTGAGAAGCGCCTGTATCCTTACTTGGAGCAAGCATCACAGATACCTGATGGGATGCATCCTCTTTCCCTGCTCACCTGTCTTTTTCTCATGTGTGAGAGGAGATGGCTGAGAACGTTGGAGGAATGATCTTCTCACCAGACAGACGGTTACTACCTCCCTACCCCAGCTGAGCCCAGGTAGGTTAGCCTGATTGAGTCCACACCCCAAGCAGTCTTTTGTGACAAATTGTTGACACTTGTCAGGGTGGACAGCCCTACAAGGACAGTTTCGGGGACCTGCTGACACTGGCCGTGAGCTCTTCCCTTGTCCCTTCGGGGTCTTGCCAAGGTAGAGTCACCTTAGTGGGAGGCTGGTCTCAAACTGTCACACAGTAGAAGATGCTACATCTATTGGTGCTGTAGGATTTGGACTCCAGTGTGGCCAGGTTAGTGGATGGCATGTGTGGTTAGGAGGCAGATGGATGCCTGTGTTAGAATGCCTCTGGTATTCTTCTTGGGATGGGTGAGTCCTGTAGCTCGTGCAGAGCAAAGCCTGGGAAAACCTGATCTTGACAGTGTCCCCAGAGTGGCTATATGTCCTTACTCCCCAATCTCCCCTGCTGGTGTTGGTTTTGCTTCCTGTTCCATGTCCCTCATCCCTTCCAGGCTAGAGGACCCAGTCTCATGTCATTCTGGGCCAGTGAGTCACAAGGAGGAAGCAGCCCCTTTTGCGTGGACTTAAATCAGAGTCAAGCCTGTCTTCGTTCTGAAAGGACGGCGCCGGTGAGCTGGAGAAGCATGTGTGTCACTTTGGACGACTGAGATTGTGCTCTGCTTTGTAGAGGTGAGTGGGCCTAGCCAGGCCTAGGGCATAGCAACACCAGATGCTATTGTTAGTAGCTGTGGAACTCATTTGATCCCCGTGTCCACATTCAGGGTCAGGCCTAGACAGAAACATTGATTACCATCAGGCTAGGGGTTTTAGCCAACACTGTCAGCTTATGTGTCTTGCTGTATGAGTTGTGTGCATGTTCTCCTGGGTAGAGAGTGTGGCTCCTTGCATTGAAGAGTGGCCACCCACACAGTGTTGAATGCAGGGGCCGAATGTATGGGGCTCTCACTGCTGAAGAAGTCACTGAGTCCTTTGGAAAAGGTAAGTTGCAGGGATCTGATCTAACCTCAATACTGACCTGAGTACAAAGGGAAGTGTGAGGTTGCTGAGGCCAGCCTGCCTCAAGCCCAAGAACAACTGGCACTGGCTTGCCTTACAAAGGAGTACAGGGAGAAGGCATAGGTGTGACTTTGGAAGGGTCTTGAGGACAGCTCACCTTCACCCTGGCCTTCTATGCTGCAGTGGTTTGAAAGAAAATAACCACCAAAGGGACTGGCACTAATTGGGAGGTGTGGCTTTGTGGGAGTAGGTGTGGCCTTGTTGGAGGAAGTGTGTGACTGTGGGGCGGGTTTGAGGTCTCATATAATCTCAAGCCACACCTAATGTCCCAGATCATTTCGTGTTGCTTTCTAATCAAGACACAGTCATCACTATGTCTGCCTGCACACTGCCATGACCCGCCATGATGATAATGGACTGAATCTCTGAAAATGTAAGGCACCACAGTCAAAAGCTTTTCTTTATAAGAGTTGTCATGGTCATGGTGTCTCTTCACGGCACACACAGCATCTTTTCACACTTGTATCCATGGTAGCCATTCTGTATCACTGCCATGAGGACCAGCCTCCATGAGCTCAGGGTTTGGAGGTGCGCCTGAAGAGTCAGGGGACCTTTGACTTCTCTGAGGGAGTAAAACTTAACTTGGGGCCAGCAATGAAAGGAAACACACACACACACACACACACACCTCCAACATGGCAGGATCTCCCCTAGGGTGCTGATGAACGGCAAGCCTTCAGCAGGTCAGAGAAGCTGAAGAGGAGATGCAGACCAGGTGAAGCAGAGGACACACAGACACAGGAGGACGTTTCTGAGGTCAAAGGTTAGTTCCTCATTTTATTACTCTTTCTGTCACTGGTCTACTCTATTGTTGTTTGTTTCCCTCCTGTCTACCTTGATGTCTTCCTTCTGATTTTCCTTCTACATCTTTTCTTATGTTTTCCTTTCCTCCTTTTTGATGTTTTCCTTCTAACTAACTTTATTTTTTCTCCCTTATAGATTATATACCCCAGAAAACGGTTTCAAGCAATGTAAAAATTACAATATGGTTATATTCTCTTTTTCAAGAATGATTAAAATTTAAATTACAAGTTTGAAAAACACCATGTTTTCCATATCCTTTACATGATTAAATGTTTTCTGCACTACAAGTGAAAAACAAGACATCTCAAGAATCCACGTACAGTCATACCCAAGCAACTCGTAATCAATTAACAGTCTAAGAAATCAAGGTATAGCCGGGCGGTGGTGGCGCATGCCTTTAAACTCGGGAGGCAGAAGCAGGCAGATCTCTGGGAGTTCGAGGCCAGCCTGGTCCACAAGAGCTAGTTCCAGGACAGGCACCAAAGCTACAGAGAAACCCTGTATTAAAAAAAAAAAAAAAAAAAAAAAGGTATTTTTCTCAGCAAGTTTTTTTTTGCTGGCAGGTACCACTTTGCAGTTAAAAAGAAAGAACCAGGAGACTCGACGCCCGACTTGTGTGCCCGGGAAACCCCCATTGTTCCCTTTCCCCTGGCTAGCAGCGCGGAGGCCGCAGGATGCCTGGAGTTACTGTAAAAGATGTTAACCAGCAGGAGTTCGTCAGAGCTCTAGCAGCCTTCCTCAAAAAGTCCGGGAAGCTGAAAGTCCCCGAATGGGTGGACACAGTCAAGCTGGCCAAACATAAAGAGCTTGTCCCCTATGATGAGAACTGGTTCTACACGCGAGCTGCCTCTACAGCACGGCATCTGTACCTGCGTGGTGGTGCCGGGGTTGGCTCCATGACCAAGATCTACGGAGGACGGCAGAGAAACGGTGTCAGGCCCAGCCACTTCAGCAGAGGCTCCAAGAGTGGCCTGCCGCGTTCTCCAAGCCCTGGAGGGACTGAAAATGGTGGAAAAGGACCAGGATGGGGGCCGCAAGCTAACACCTCAGGGACAGAGAGATCTGGACAGGATTGCCGGACAGGTGGCAGCTGCCAACAAGAAGCATTAGAACAAAGGATGCTGGGTTAATAAATTGCCTCATTCATAATCAAAATAAAAAAAGAAAGAACCAATCATTTTATTATTTATCTCAAAAGATTATCTTATAAAGAATCTTAAAGTTACCACAAACCTAAACATTCACACATGAAAAACAGTCGTCTCTAAGTTCTCAGGGTGCATACCCACTCATCCACAGTTTTTTTTATTGTTTGTTTGTTTTTTTAATCAGAAATCTAAGGGCAGAAATGGGGACAAAGAATTAATCATCGCCTTTGGTCACCAACCAATCCTGGCAAGAAAGGCATGTCAGCTAAGAATAATTGCGCTGCTTTGTTCCTGTTCGCCAACCTTAATGAGTCCCTGACTCAACCATGAGCCTTTCTAAACTTTAGGTTGCTTCCTTGAGTTTTTCACATCAAAACTATTAACGAAACATGTTAATATAGCCTTAAGTCATTTTCAAAACTTTGTTTCAGTTACGATGAACCAGTGAACACAATTCCCAATATTAAGACTGAAAGAATTTAAGCTACTGGGACACAAGTTCTTTTTAATCATTAAGTTACAGCCTATACAACTCCTCAACAGAAACTCGTGTTCTAGCTGTGTGATACTTGATTTTTTATCCTCTGGAGCCTCTGCTTTGTCAGAAGAACGGGCAACATTTTATCTCCCTGTATTTACCTATATTAATTTTTCCACTAAACTAAACTCTTTCATAATCCCTTACTATGTTTATTAAAAAACCCCAACCATCAAATTCCTATTTAAACTAACACTATTTGTTGAAATAGGAGCGGCGGGGCTGTGTCCCCGGCACCCGGCCGCCCGCATGGCTAGCTTATGCCCGAAATAATTACACGGAAACTGTATTCTTTCAAACACTGCCTGGCCCGGCTAGTTCCAGCTTCTTATTGGCTAGCTCTTACATATTGTTCTAACCCATTTCTAATATTCTGTGTAGCCCACGAGCTGGCTTACCAGGGAGGATCTTAACCTGC